AAAAAAAAAAAAAAGACTGAAAATGATAGGAATGCTGGTTTTTTTCTCACTGGTTTTGAACTTGTGGCTTCAAGTGACTTTTCCTACACTCCTACACTACCTGACACTGGGCGTGCACCAGCCTCCCTGTCAAGTCTCTTTGAATAAGATGACCATAGATCTGTCCGTGGCTTAGTGATGAGACAGGTTTGTGTCTTTATATTGTCTCTCTCTCTCTCTCTCTCTCTCTCTCTCTCTCTCTCTCTCTCTCGTTGAGAGAGCGATTACAGGCATGTCCCACCATGCCCAGATAGGACCATGAAATGCCTCATTTATAGTTTTGCTCATTAAATGACTTGGAGTGTGTGATGGATGGATTTTGAAGTGGGGAAGGCCTGTGTCCTACCTACAGTGCCCGTGGGTCTCTGGTGGGGAGCAGACACGCACTGACCTGTAGCTGTTCTTTTCTAGGTGCACGTTCAGGTTTCCGAGTACAAACATCAAGATAACGTTCACAGCCTTGTCCAGCGAGAAGAGAGAGAAGCAGGAAGAGCCCGAGTCACCAGTGAAGCCTGTGCAGCCACACATCTCACCCCTGACCATTAGCATTCCGGACACCATGGCCCACCTCATCAGCCCCCTTCCCTCCCCTACTGGAACCATCAGGTACAGCGGAAGCCAGAGGCAGAGCACTCAGGGTCTTTAGTCACACAGGAGCTCCCAGAGCGACCCCACCATCTTCGTTGCAGCTGGCTACCAGGAGACCACTGAAGGCTCTCTGTGAAGTGTAGTTCTTATATGTTGGAGGGTTGTGAGGTTTTGCTTTTTCCAAGACAAGCCTATGTAGCCCAGGCTAGCCCCATCACAGTCCTGCCTCCAAGCACCTGGAGTACCAGGGGTTGCAGCGTTCCACTGCTTTTCTTCTGGGTGGGTGGTGGTTTTGTTTTTTGTTTGTTTGGGGGTTTTTGGTCTTTTTGAGATAGGTCTCCCTGTAGTCACTGCTGGCCTGGATTCACTGTGGAGACCAGGGTGGCCTCTAATTCACAGGGATCCGCCTGCCTCTGCCTCCCCCGTGCTGGGATTAAAGGCATGGGTTGGTGTTTAAGACAGTGTCTTAGTATGTAGCTCTGACTGGCCTGGAACTCACTATATTAGGGGATAGCCTCAAACTCACAGAGGTAGCCTGCTGTTGCCTCCCAAATGCTGGTATTCAAGACACGGGTCACCATTCCTGGCCATTTCTGGCTTTTACTTAGGAATGCTTTCTAGTGGAGAGTGGGTTTGTAATGGAGATCTAAATGCCTGACAACTCAAGAAGTAGGTTGCAGCTTCAGCTCCGTCTCTCCAGCCTCTCCTGGACCCAGTCCGCGAGCTGAGCACCAGCTCTCTTTTGTGTGTGGGTAACAGAGGGAGTTCAGTGGTCAGGGTTGCACTTCTAAGTAATTACTTCTTTTGTTTCTTTTTTCTTTTTTTTAACTAAACTATAATGTTTTATTTCATTCAAGATATCAGCCAATCCATTTCTACATAGAAGTAAATGCAAAAGTTAAGAAATACACTAGTATAAAATCTCTGGTAAGATAAATTCTCTTTTCTCTATCCTAGCTTATGGTCTAGGTTTTTTTTCCCCTATGGCTTTTGATTTAAATTGCTTGTACTTGTTTACCTAAATAGAATTTTAGAAGTTTGGCATGGTGGTCACACTTGTAATCCTAGAATTCAGGTGGTGGAAGCAGGGTTCAAGACCGTCCTCCCCTAAATAGCAGTCAGGGACAACCTAGGCCACATGAGACCTGTCTCAAAAATAAGTAAATTGTGTAATGTGGTAGCACATGCCCTTAATCCCAGCATTCTGGAGGCTGAGAGGCAGCCTTGGTCTACAGAGCCGGGCAAGCTAAGGCTACATAGTGAGACCTTGTCTCAGAAAGGGGAAGTGGTGGGTGGGGGGGCACTAAGTAGGAGGCTCGAGAGATGGCTTAGTGATTAAGAGCACTTGCTGCTCGTTGGGAAGACCTGGGTTCAGTTCCCAACACACTGGTGGCTCACAACCACCTGTAACTCCAGTTGCAGGGATTCGATGCCTCTGGTCTTCTCAGGCACTTCGTGAACAAGCTGCACATGCAAATACTCAGGGGACACTCACACATAAAGATCAACCTTTAAAAACAATTCACTTTTAATTAAGTTCATGTTAGCTGTGATGGCGCACACTTATAATCCCAGCACTGAGGAGGCTGAGGCGTGAAGATTGCCACGACCAGCCTTAGTTACAGTGTGAGGCCCTGTCTCCAAAAACAAAAAAGCTAATGGAAATTTATCCCATGATCACAGATTGGTGGTCCTCATGTTCCCTGATGGGAGGGGCTCATAGACCATATTTTCTATGCCCCTGGGCTCATCACATGGTATTTGGGTCCTTGGTAAGAGGCGGAACCATCTAGAAACTCAGTTTGCTCTGGTGGAATGAATGAGACACGGCCACGGGATGTTCTCACACTATCCTTACAGTTCATATCCTCACACTTACAGAAGCAAGTACTCTGTTCCACACTGCTAGAAGTGATCTTAGATATCACAAAGAGTTCCTAAGAATCCATTGTTTTCATAGTGCATACTGCTGTTCTGAAAGTTTTCGTTTTAGCTAGATGTGTAACCCCAGTGCTGAACGCCAGGGAAAGTGAGACCAGCCTCAGGCTACAGGAGGAAGCCAGTCACTGAGGTGCAATACCATGTGTACTCTGGGGTGGACTAAAGTAGACCTCTTTTCTTCCACAGTGCTGCAAACTCCTGCCCATCCAGTCCTCGGGGAGCAGGGTCTTCAGGGTACAAAATGGGCCGTGTGATACCATCTGACCTCAATTTAATGGCTGACAGTTCACAGCCAGAAAATGAAAAGGAAGCTTCAGGTGGAGACAGCCCAAAGGTAAATATCTTGTAACTGGACCTGGGGGACATTATTAGACACTGTCCTATTTATCACCTGTGTGTCCGATAAGCCCAACCAGGGCCTTTTGAGAAGCACCATGTGGTGTATCAGGGATGTGGGCGTCTGTGTGGGTTGATTCTGGTGTTGTTGCTGAGCTTGCTCTCTAGTTTGTGACTGCATTCTTTTAGTCATTCATAGCACATACGTGAAGACTCCAGGGCCTGCAGTCCCAGTGCTGAGAGCTGAGCAGGCAGCAGGAGACAGAGAAGACGTTGGTCTTTGTGGAGCTTTTCCGAAACATGCGTTTGTGTTCCAGGAAAGTGATGTGGGAAGTTCACTCACTATCCCAAAGTCTGAAAGTTACTTATACACAAACCTTGGAGGGGGCCCTGTCCTTCTTTGGGCAGTGGTGACACTGTGATCCTGGGTGTTCTTTCCTGGGACCTTGTGTGAAGTAATGGACAAAAGTTCATAGAAGACACAAAATTGAAAGCAGCGGTGATTGATTATGGTGGCCGGCAAGGAAATAGATGAAATACTTGCTGTTGATGTAGGTGCCATGAAAGAAAGATCGATAAGAAAATCTGTACATATTTTTTCAGTTGGGTATCTGTAGATGTAACATTCACAGAGAACACAACAGAGCCGTGTGAATGAGTGAATCACAGCTACATACCTTGTGCACAGGATGCTTCTTAGGTGCTGGCATGGAGCAGGTCACAGCAGAAGGACATAGTTACAGAGCTGGGACTGATGGTGGCCTCTGCCAGGCAGAAGCTGTGGCCTGCAGAGGCGGTGCAGGTGCTGACCTGCTGGGTGCTGGCTGTTTTTCTCTCCACCTAGTGTTGGCTGTACTGATGTTCACTTTGCAAAACTACATTCTGAGCCTTTTCTGGGTTAAATTTTTTTCAATAAAAACATTTTATGTGGGGCTAGAGAGGTGGCTTAGTCGTTAAGAGCACTGATTGTTCTTCCAGAGGACCTAGGTTTGATTCCCAGCACCCACATAGTTGCTAACAACCGCCCATAACTCCAGTTCCAGGGGAGCCAATGCTCTTTTCTCACTGCCAGAAGTACTGTACGCATGACATGCATGCACTTACATGTATGCAGGCAGTACATTCATACACACAAAATTTAAAAATAATAAATATACTTTTTTTTTAGCCAGATGTGGTGGCACACGCCTTTAGTCCCAGCACTCGGGAGACAGAGGCTGGCAGATCTTTGTGAGTTCAAGGCCACCATGCCTGGCTTTAAAAATATCTATTTTTAAAAGCATTTTATGCCCAGCATGGTAACATGCCTTTAATTCCAGCACTCAGGAGACAGAGACAGGTGGATCTTGGTGCCAGCCTGGTCTATCCAGTGAGTTCCAAGCTATCCAGGGCTGCACAGTGAGACCAAAACAAACAAACCCCACATTTTTAGGTTTAGGGTCGGCAAGATAGTTCAGTGGGTAAAGGCACTTGCCTGCCAAACTTGATGACCTTAGTTTGATCCCTGGCATGCACATGGTGAAAGGAGAGAACCAACTCTCCCAGAGTAAACAAAATGTCTTTAGAAACATGCAAGAAAAAAGCCATAGAAACACAGTGGCCATCTGAGCAGGGGTAGAGGCTTTGCCCTCCAAGCAGCCGTGGGGTAAAGGACTGTAGCTCAGCCACATCTCAGGCTCAGGTATTCACTATTTTGGTTCTTTGAGACTGTTGTGGCCTAAATGCTGGAAAAAGTTAGTCATTTAAAGAGGGTCATGGTGGTCTTGTGGATGTTGGTGTTAGAGATGGTTGAGTTTTTCTGCATAGAATGACCATGATCCCTGGACCATCAGCTTCTAGGACAAAGCCAAGGCCGTCTCAGTCCTCATCAGCCTTGTTCCTGCCTGTAGCTTCATCCCTCTGATTTTGCATCTGTCCCTTAAGTGTGTCTGTAGTGGAGTGCTATTCTTTTCTTGTTTTGTTCTGTTCTGTTTTGTTTTGTTTGAGACAGAGTTTTCCTGTAGCCTCAGCTGTCCTAGAACTCCATATGTAGACTAGGCTGGCCTGGATCTCACAGAGATCCACCTGCGTCTGCCTCCTGAAGACTGGGATTAAAGGCGTGTGCCATCATGCGTGTGTATTATAATTTTTATGTGTATGTTTTGCCTGCATGATGTAAGTATACTTATATTGTGCAATGCCCTCAGAGGCCAGAAAAGGGCGCCAGATTCCCTGGAACTAGAGTTACTGATGGTCGTCAGTCCCTATGTGGGTGTTGGGAGCTAAACCTGAGTCCTCTGCAAGATCAGCCAGTGCTCCTAACCACTGAGCCAACTCTCCAGCCCCTAGAGCATTGTTCTTACTCGTTTGTTTTTTGCGATAGGGTGGTCTCTGTAGTTAACTTGAAACTATGTAGCACAGTAATAGTTTATTTATTTTTTTTAGAGAACTTTTAAAATTTATGTGTATGAGTGCTTTGCCTACTTGTAAGTGTCTCCCTACATCTCAGATGCCCACAAGAGGCCAGAAGAGAGCATTGGATCCCCAGGAACTAGAGTCACAGGTGATAATGAAGTGGGTGCTGGGAATCGAATTTAGGTTCTCTACAGAGTATTAATTGCTCTTAACTGGTGAGCTACTTCTCAAGCTCCTAATGTTTTTTTAAAAAACTTTATTATAAACGGCACCTATCTCCTTACAGTGCTGACAGCCAAACCACGGTCTTGTGATTTCTCTGTTCCGAATGCCCTCCACCTCCACCCCGGCCCTTGAGTGTGATTGATCAGCTCAGGTGTCTTTTGCAGGCTTCTCCATTCATGTTGTTTAGCTGTTTACCGGTGCTGCTGTACATTTTCTAGAAGTTCATACAAGAACTGGGAGCTCTGTCCAGAGGCTAGAGCTGGTGTATGTGGGATTTTGAGATGTCTCAAACTGAGAGCTCCCAGTGCTGCAACAAGTAGTCAGGCTGTATCTGGCTCCTTTACAGTCACAGCTGTAGACATGGCATGTGCGGAACCTGCGGTGGGCGGGCATTTGGACAGTTTTGCTCCACTCCTTTCCACACCTGGACATGATGGTTCCCCCTCACAGGCTGGCTGTGTAGTGCCCTGGACTCCACTGAGGTCTGTGGCCTTGTTCAGTTCCACTGTTTTGTTCTTGGCATTTAGATTTTCCCGTGTGACTTTTTAATCTTTTTCTATGTTATTCTACATTTTTCCCATGTATTTGTCTAACTTTTCAAGATCATACTACTTTCACAATGTAAAACATTGGTAAAACACTTATAAACATTGTAAATTTTCATTCACTTTTTTCCTAACACAGGACGATTCAAAGCCACCTTACTCCTATGCACAGTTGATAGTACAAGCAATTACAATGGCTCCTGACAAACAGCTCACCCTCAATGGAATCTATACACATATCACGAAAAATTACCCGTACTACAGGACTGCAGACAAGGGCTGGCAGGTAAGTCCATCTCGGCTTGCCGTCGAGTGTTGAGGTGGTCAGAGGAAGTGTGCTGCTCTTCCGGACAGAAGAGAGCAGCGGCAGTTCTCTAGAAAATTGAAACCTGGGCTTTCACTCTCTGAGAAAACAGATGGTTCTCTCTGGGTTGCATAAAGCCCGTGTTGCTGGAGTTGTTCTCTTGGACCAGGGTAGTTCATTTTTTCTGTGTCTGATGTAGAATTTCAAAGTGAAACCCATTCTTTTCTCTGGCATTTTCCTACATCCTCATCCACTTCTGCATCATGGGGTACAGAAGCTTTGAGCTTCATACAGAAACAATTTTCAGAAGACAATTTTCCAGTTGGTCCATATATAACACAGATGAGCAGAGCATACCCAGTTTAATTTGGGGAGCCCACCATCTCATGTTCTTGTACCTCTAGCCACTTCCTAGACAACACTTGGAGTCAGTGCACAGAGCTGCGAGACTGTGGCTTGTGGACCAGTGAGTTTTAACTGTGCATTGCACATGTCTCACACTGTTCTGTGAGGCCATTTACTGGACATGTAGGAAACTTCCCAAATCGAGGTATTTGGGAAAGGCTAAGTTTAGAATGCAGAATATTAAAAGATATACAGAAGTGTTCCCATGGCTTTTAGTTCATGAAATAAGTGGCTGCAACATTGCTTTGATGCTTTGGTTTGATGAGTAAAGATCCTTTTAAAAGATGTTGCTGTCAGCCAGGCATGTGGGCACACACCTTTAGTTCCTGCACTAGCACAGGCGGGGAGATCTCTGTGAGTTGAAGGCCAGCCTGGTCTACATAGTGAGTTCCAGGCCAGCAGGGGCTACAGGGAGACCCTGTCTCAAAAAAATGTTGCTGTTGAACCATGTGACATAGTAATGTGGTTGGGGAAGAGGTAACTTTTCTGTTGATGGAAAGGAAAACATCTTTTTAAGTGAAGATGCTAAATGTTATAATAAAAAAAAACAAAACCTTCCAAATAAATTCCCGGGTATTCCCGCTTAAGAGACTCAGGATCTTTAATCATGGAAGGTGAAAGTGATACTCCATCTCCTCTGGTGCTGAGCTCTTCCTGGGGCATGTAAGCCTGTGCTTCTTCATTGACAGGAAGACACTGGATTTAGAGAATTGCTATATTCTGCTACTGTCAGAGCCCTTAACATAATGTATAATAAATTCCAGTTTGCTACACTTAAACCTGCAAGAGCACAGCTGTGGACATTTGTGCAGCTCAGTGGTAGAGAATTGCCTGCCATGTCCTAGATCTCAGTGCACCACCACTCCCTCCAAAAAAGTTTTTGCTTTAAGCAAACAATATGGTAATTAAACCCCAAAGAAAAATATAGCAGTAGACTTCATGCACCATGCTCCGTGACCATGACAGAAGCTCCCTGGAGTACAGTCACAGTGTGAACATGATGGGGTGGGTTGGATCCAAGCATTTTTTACATTCAAAACTTTTGATAATGTAAAGTACTGGTTCCCTGAGCTTCTGGAGTGGTATCTCTGAAAGCTCAAGTAGACTGTGCTGTGGTTGGTCATGTCAGTGTTTCTAGCATGTACTGCTTTGAGAAACCCTGAGTACCACAAAGTTTTCTTGCTAAAAAGAGTGGAAAGGTAAGGCCAGTTTGAATGTTTAGGGTAGGCTGCTCCTGCCACAGGTGTCGGGACATGACCCTAGAGCAGCGCACCAATTCCCACTGGCTCCTGGGAGTGACTTCATAATGCACTGAGGGTAGGGAAGCACCATGTGATGCAGGCTGCACACGCTGCACTGTTGAATTGCCGTTAACTCTTGATTTTACTCAGACATGTTCTTTTCTGTCTAGATCAAGGCTCGTAAGGATGACTGCGTCTCTCCCCTGAGTGAGGCTGCTCCTGGGATGTTTCATGCCTCCTGGCTCCAGATGACTTAGTGGGAGAGGGACTGCCTGCTCCAGAGCCCGTTTGATGCATGGGCATATACGTTAACCCAATTTCTGTCCTCAGTTGTGTCATTGGCTTTGAATTACTGACTTTTGTGTGCTCTTTTATAGTTCAGAGCTCAGCTGCTCTTCCAAAAAGTTAAGATCACTTCGAACCTATGTCAGCCTTATTCTAACTTCTTGTGAGAGAAAAAAGCTCAACAAGCAGCCCATCTAAGAAACTTGGGTTTCAGGGACTGGGAAATAGCTCAGTAAAGTACGTGCTATGCAAGCATGAGGACCCGAGTTCTGTCTTCTCAACCCGTGTAGAAAAGCTGAGTGCTGGGCTCGTCAAACCCTAGCTCAGAAAGCAAGGTGTTTGGCCTCTGAGGAACGGTACTTGATTATTCTCTGGAGATCGTGTGCACACACACACACACACACACACAGGCACGCACGCATACATGCAAGTTCACACACACACACGTGTGCGCATATTTTCAGCTTGAGTCTTGTTCTCTAGCAGCATGGTGCTTTTTTCCAGCCTTGACATGTGAGTGCTGCTCTACCCACTGCAAACTCCCATGTCCACCACGCCTCTTAGTCTTGCCCTTAGGAGTCTATGGGTTTTTGTGGTGGTGGTGGTGGTTTTTTTGGTCTTTTTGAGACAGGGTCTCCCCTGTAGCCCTAGCTGGCCTGGAACTCACTGTGTAGACCTGGCCGAACTTGAAATCACAGAGATCCGCCCACCTCTGCCTCCCGAGTGTTGGGATTGCAGGCATGCACCACCATACCCGCAATTCTACAGTATTTACCCTTGGAACAACTTCTTTGATAATCTGCCTAGGAAACTCCAGCGTAGAATGAGATAGAATGATTGTATAGAAAACATCTTTCTTTCTTTCAGTTACATTTTTCTGCCACGGTCTCTCCCCAGCACATACACACACACACACACACGCACGCACGCACGCACGCACGCACACGCACCAGCCCCTCCCCACCTACCCAGCCTCTCTGTGTTGCCTCAGCTGGCCTCAAACTTGTGATATTCCTCCCCCAGTCTTCCCGACAGCTGGGATTACAAATGCAGTTCACTATACCTGCTTCAAAATGATTTCTTAGAGAACTGGGCATGGTAGTACACACACCTGTAATCCCAGCAGAGGCGGGTGGATCTCTGAGTTTGAGGCCAGCCTGGTCTGCATAGTGAGTTCTGGGCCAGCTGGGGCTGCAGGGAGACCCGTCCCAAAAAGAAATCCCCCACAAAAAAAATATTACTAGAATTTTATAACTTTTCCCAGCCCAGAATAAAGCTGTTTGTTGTAACTTCAAAAAAATGTATGAAAAGACTGGACTACTGGTCTATGAAGGGACCAATGCTAGTAGAGCCTTCAGCCCTGGAATTCTGGAAGCACACTTATACTACAGTGCTCAGTACTAGGTAGAACTGAACAGGGACAAACTCCATTCAAGAGGTGTAGGGCTGCCGGGCATGGCGGTGCACACCTTTAATCCCAGTACTTGGGAGGAAGAGGCAGGTGGATCTCTTTGAGATTGAGGCCAGCCTGGTCTACATAGTGAGTGCCAGGCCAGCTGGGGCTTCAGGGAGACCTTGTCTCAAAAAGACCAAAATAGGTAAATATTTTTTTTAAAGGGGGAGGGCTGGAGAAATGGCCCAGCAGTTAAGAGCACTGGCTGTTCCCACAGAGGATCCGGGTTCAATTACCCCTACGTGGTGGCTGACAGGTGTCTGTAACTCCAGTACCAGGGGAATCTGACGCTCTCTTCTGACCTCCATGGGTGCACTTACACACATGCAGGCAATATACTCATATACATAAAACAATAATAAAATTTTTCTAAAAATCAACTCTCCCTCACCCCGCAGTGATCAGCTGCCAATAGTTCTTCAACTAAGGTTGGGGCCTGCTGCCCATTTCCCCAGTTCTGTGCTGGGTTTTTGTCTGGTTGAGTTTGCGTGGATCTTGTGCCTGCTGACACCATTGCTATAAGATCCTATGAAGAAGTTCATACCCACAGGCCTAGAAGACTCTTGTTTCCTTATGGTCATGCACCAACCCTGGCTCTTATAATCTTTCCGCCCCTTCTTCTGCAGTGGTTCCTGAGCCCCTAGGTGGGTGGGGTTCAATATAGGGGTCCTGTCCCAGGACACACTCTGCACTCTTATTCTCTACAGTTGTGGTCTTCTGTGTGCATTGCCCTTGGTTTTATGAGGACGCATCACTGGTGAGAATTGAAAACTATTAGTATTCTCTACCCTGTTCAGGGTTGGGTCTTAGACAGCAGCCCATTAGTAATGGCTCTGGGCTGACAGTTGCTTGGTGGTTCAGGTCGTCTCTCCATATTTAACATTGATGGATTAGTACTCATTCTTTCTCTGAGTCCAGTAGTTGCTGTTTTCATACATGTAAGACTAGAATGAAGAACTCATCTGGGCTTGACCACCTTATATAGGCCATAAATTACATTGAAAATGGGTACCTTGCTGCTTGTGCCTAAACTAAATAAATGTTTGGTCACTTCCTCCTATTTCTAGTGTGTTGATTGCAAAACCGCAGGTGACTATGAATCTGACCTTGTATTGTCTGCAAGTCAGTAGAAGGGGTGGTCAGGGAGAAGCTGGCCTCTTGTGACTTAGGCTGTTACATCTTCAGAACTGAAAGTAGCAGCTCCCTATTGTGAGCATCTCTGAGTCTCAGAAGCACTAGTGACCGCAGAGCGGCAGCCTTCCCGCCCGTGGTCCTGTTCTGGGTCTCGTCCCATGGGTAGAAAGCCTGGCTCCTGCTTCTGCATTCTCTGCTAGTCACATACCATCTAAGTGGCTTCACGTGGGCCAGTGTAGCTGGGCTGTGGAGCATCTCACACTGTGACTTTGTGCTATGAGTGTGGGGCTGGAGTCCTGAGCGCCGCCGAGGGCAGTGTAGCAAAGGGACCTGCAGGCAGCTGTGAAGACTGCCCTTTGCAGGTAGTGTCTTTTTTGGGTTGACAACTCCCTATCTGTTTCAGAGTTCACATTGAACAAAGATTAGTTATTAGCAACACATATATTTGGTCATTAAGATATTCTAAATCTCAGTGAGCCAGGTGCAGCCAGGCCTCTTCACGCTGCCCATGATATAACTCAGGTCCACAGAGCAGTCAGAGGCCTTGCTTGCTACCTGCAACTAGTTGATTGTAAAGTAATACTGAGCATGTGTTTGATTTCTTAGCCGCCAGTGACAGTTCAGAGCTTTAGACCATGACTAGTTCTGAGCGGTCAATGGTGAATTTAGAAAATTGGGGCTTTTTGGATAGCCTCAGATTTCATTTTGAGATACTACCATTTTGAAACTTTGATTTTAAAAATACTCAGTAATGTAAGGCGGTGAGATGTAGCTATTCATCCTGCTTGTGCCTCAGTAGTGATCACACTCAGACTCTAAAAATCCTGTAGTTGTGGTTTTGGAAGTAGAGAGAATGGTGGAGTTTCTTTTCTCTGCTTACCCAGTGGGATGATTCTTGAGCTTCAGGTAATAAGCATGTGGTGGTACTTTGTGAATATAGAAGCCACGTGTGTGAGAGGAAGGCGGTGTTAGTTGTAATTCCTGGTCTTTGTGGACTTGAAAAATACTTAATTTTCTTTAAATGGCATGGCAGATTCTGTCAGCTAATCCTGTGCAAGACGTAAGTTTTAAAGGAGTGGCTCATGTCAGCTGTTGGCGGTTAGTCAAGGACGGCCTCTTTCCTACCTTGAAAGGAGAAATGGTGGTCCTTACCTGTTCTCCTGCCCAGGTTCCCTGCACCACCAGGGTTCCCTGGGCTGTGACCACCGAGGGCTCTGACCCAGAGCCACTCACCAAGGAGAGATGAACTGTTCCCTCCCCACAGCACTGCCTTGAAACCTCAAGTCAGGTCTGCAGTTGAGCATTAGGTTTCTGCTTCACAAGACACTAAGGTTTGGGCACATTTTTATTTCTCAGGAAAGAATTATATGAATTCTGCATATTTTTTTATGTTTCATAGAATTCAATTCGCCACAATCTGTCTCTGAATCGTTATTTCATCAAAGTGCCGCGTTCCCAGGAAGAACCAGGCAAAGGCTCCTTCTGGAGGATAGATCCTGCCTCCGAGAGCAAGCTGGTAGAGCAGGCTTTTAGGAAGAGACGGCCTAGGGGCGTGCCTTGCTTTAGAACCCCCCTGGGACCGCTCTCCTCTAGGTAAGGACCCAGGAACCGCAAACCACACCCATGGTTGGTAATGTCGTCTGTGCTGGCAGAGCTTCCTTTTAGTAATGAAAGCCTGCGATGCCTTTGGTGTTGGGTTGGGGAGCTGGTAAAGGTATCAGTTGTGTTTTTGTTTCATATTGTAACGTGTAACTTAATCCACCTTGAACTGCTTGCTGCCTCCTTGAACTTGATGCACTTGTTGAGTCATTAGACTCAAGTTGGCACGGTCATGAGGCCAGTTTTCCTTTCTGTTGGCGTATAAACAGTTCTTTAAAGCTCCATCATCTAAAGATTGTTCATTTGCCTCATTTAAATTCAGACCCTTTTTCTTCATTGATTCTGTTTTTAATCAAAAAAGAGATGAACTTAGCAGAACCCTTAAGCAAGCCGCCAGTCTGCCCACTGCTGGCTCCTGCTCTGTGGCTACACAGGAGCTGCTCGGAGAAGGCACTGGCCCTTCCACACAGCTGAGCACCCTCTGGCCACTTGAGCCCCGCTGAGTGTCCAGCTCAGCCCACAAACCAACACAGAGAAAAGTTAGACTCAGAACTGCAGTCTGTGGCAGGAGGCAGAGGACTCCCTTTTGCAAAGTGAGATTGAAACAAGTTCTTTCCAGCGCATCACTGTGAAAATCCACTGTCTTCTTTTGGTGACCCAGGAGTGCCCCGGCTTCTCCCAACCATGCAGGAGTGCTGTCTGCTCACTCCAGTGGCGCCCAGACCCCTGAGAGTCTGTCAAGGGAAGGTTCCCCGGCCCCCTTGGAGCCTGAGCCTGGCGCCTCACAGCCCAAACTTGCCGTCATCCAGGAGGCACGGTTTGCCCAGAGTGCACCAGGTGAGATAACAGCAGGAGAAGGTCAGGCACGGGCTGGGTGTAGATGTGTTCGGTTGGCAGAGAAGTGGTGGCTGAAGCTTTAAGAAGCCCTCATGCCTTCCACCTGGTGCTTTGGTGGGCTTGGGAAAACTAGTGTTCAAAAAAAAAAAAAATCAGCTGCTGGGCATGGTGGGATACGCCTTTAATTCCAGCAAAGGCAGGCAGATCTCTGTGAGTTCAAGGACAGACTGGTCTACATAGTAAGTGCCAGGCTAGCTGGGGCTACAGGGAGACCTTTTCTCAAAAACACCCCCCCCCCAAAAAGAAAATCAGCTGGACATGGTAGCACATGCCTTTAATCCCAGCACTCTGGAGGCAGAAGCAGGCAGATCTCTTGTGAGATCAAGGCCAACTTGCTCTACATAGTGAGTTCCAGGATAGTTGGGGCTGGAGGGAGACCCTCTCAAAAAGATCCCCCTCCCCCCCCAAAAAAATCAGCGGCCAGGTATTGATGATGCAAGGCTGTAATTCCAGCACCCAGGAGGTTGAGGCAAGATCACTGTGAGTTCAAGGCCAAACTGGGATACATAGTGAAGCCCTGTTTCTAAAAACAAAACGAAAAAATAATTCAGAATTAATCTCTCAGTTGTGTAATTAAAAACAAAAAGTTTCCTGAAAAAGATGGCCCTTTCTCCAGCAGAATAAATTAGACAAACTAAACATCGATTAGAGCAAAGTGACAGAAGCACGTTTGTGTTCACTTGCAAAGCCACGATACAGAATTAAAAAATGTGTGTCCTGAGGGATTTTTTTAAATGTTGTGTGAAAATGTGTCCAAACTAGTACTCAGGTGGTTGGGAAAATGTGCATGTGACCACTGAACACACTGGCCCAGAGAGGCCCTGCCGGCAGCTGGTCTTCAGCTGCTGACGTCTGAGTCTGCCTCTCACTGAGAACCGAAAGGACAGAGGCTCTGACAGCCCAGGTCTGCTCTTGAGTGCCGTGCTTCTGCCTACCAAGATGAAGGTATTGCTCCTGAGTGAGAACGGCCCTGTCTTTAGGTCCTCAAGCGTGGTTTCTTCCTGTATGTCACAGTGGCATTTTCAGGAAGGAGGAAAACTTGGAAGGGGTGTTACCCGGAATCAAGACAAAGCGGAGATTGCATTTGTTAGTAATGAGAGGTGGGACTCATCGTCTCTGTTAAGACAGCACATGTCTCTCATTGTTAGTACCATCCTGGATTTTTTTATTTTATTTTATTTTTTTGGTCTTCTTGAGACAGGGTCTCCCTACAGCCCCAGCTTACCTGGCACCTTGGCACTTGCTATGTAGCTCAGGCTGGCCTTGATCTCACAGAGATCTGCCTGCCTCTGCCTCCCAAGTGCTGGGACTAAAGGCGTGCGCCATTAAGCATTAAAGTGTAACATTCGTGTCGGTGCTCTATGGGGACTGTAGAGCCAGCGGCATGCGAGCCTCAGAACTGCTCATGTCTTCTTCCCAGCAGGGTCACCTCTCTCTAGTCAGCCCGTCTTAATCACTGTCCAGCGGCAGCTACCCCCAGCGATTAAGCCTGTCACCTACACTGTTGCAGCCCCAGTGACCACCTCCACCTCTCAGCCACCCGTCGTGCAGACGGTACATGTTGTCCACCAGATACCAGCAGTATCAGTCACCAGTGTGGCTGGACTGGCCCCAGCAAACACATACACAGTTGCTGGACAAGCTGTGGTCGCTCAGGCTGCGGTGCTGGCCCCACCTAAGGCAGAACCCCAAGAGAATGGTGACCACAAAGAAGTCAAAGGTGAGCAGGAAAGATGTGTCCGTCAGCTTTTCTGTTTTTTTTTTTTTTTAAGAGAGCTACAAGGTCATTTGTCCGACAAGTTTAATGCATACTTTGGATTTTGTTTCTTCATAGTGCCTTTGAGGGGTTGGGGATAGCAGGGCTAAATGTTGAGGCCAGGACCTGGTACCTCTTAGAAAAGCCTTTATCACTAGGCTGTGTCCTCAACCCACTGTTACTTGGTTTTAGGCATTGAGATCAAACCCAAAGCCTGTGTATGTTGGGCAAGCACTCTCCTACTAAGCTATGTTCCAGCCTTTATTTATTTTTTTAATTTTACTCTTTGAGACACAGATTTAAGTTGCCCAGACTAATCGTGAACTTACTCTCTAACCCGGACTGGCCCTAAACCTGAAACTCTCCTGCCCAGTCTTTGACAGTGGTTGCAGTGATAGGCCTCTGCCACCCATTTTGGAATGACAGACCTGCACCCGTGCGTGACTTGGTTTTTACACCGATGAGGTTAGTCTTAGTTGTGTCACCTCTTTTCCTTTTCTTTGATTTCAGTGAAAGTAGAGCCTGTTCCTGCAATTAGCCAAGCCACACTAGGCGCTGCCAGCCGAATCATCCAGACATCACAGGGCACCCCTGTCCAGACAGTCACCATAGTACAGCAGGCGCCTCTAGGTCAACACCAGCTTCCTATAAAAACTGTAACACAAAATGGGACTCACGTGGTGCCAGTTCCCACAGCGGTGCACAGCCAGGTGAACAATGGTAAGAAGCCCTCATCCATCCCATCCGCGTCCTGCACTGGCTGACCAGGAGCTGCGAACAGGAGCAGAGGTCCTTGATACATGGAAGGAGGCGTTCAGTGTTTGGTTCTGTCTTGACTTGGGTGTTTTGTGTGCAGTGCAGTGATGCTACAGGAGAGTGGGGGCTGATGAGGGAGCTGGCCATCCAGGGCTTCCGGTAGAGTGGGCTTCAGCTTTCCATTGCCACCCCCTCACCCCATACATTTTCATAGCACCCCAGGAGTACAGAGACACAAATCAAATAGGTGTGCAGATTATTAGTCAAAATTATTAGTCACTCTTGTTGCTGTGGCACACCTGAGAAGAAGCTACTTGAGGAGGGAGGAGGATGTATCTTGATGCACAGGTTGAAGGTCCAGTCCATCACGGTGGCAGGAGCTTGCGGTGGCAGGAGCGGGTGGCCATTCACATTACATCAGTGGTCAGAAGGCAGACAGTCTTGGATGCTGGGGCTCAGCCCACTTGCTCCTTTTCCTTCTGAGGGCAGTTAGAATGGATCTTCCCAACCCAGTGAGCCTAGTCCAGAAAGTCCCTTACAGACATGCCCAGGGGTTTGTTTCCAGAGTGACTAAGGCACCAGTTGACCATCAAGTAATCACAACACTTAAGATTCTTTAGTGTACATACAATCGTGCTAGGTTTTTGCTGTTGTTATTTTGGGTTTTTTGTGTGTGTGGTATGTTTGATTTTTGTTGTTTTTTTGTTTGTTTGTTTGTTTGTTTTGTTTGAGGCAGAATCTCTGTAGCCCCAGTGGACTTGGAGCTTGCCTTGTAGACCAGGCTGGCCTCAGTCTCACAGAGATCCGCCTGCCTGTACTGAGAGTAAAAGGCATGTGCCACCATGCCCGGCAGGTTTTTAAATTTTATTATTACTGCGTTTATGTTTGTGTGTGTACTGTGGCACACACGTGGAGTTCAGGGGACACCTTTGTGGAGTTGTTTTTTTTTTTCCACCTTTAAGTGAATTCTGGGAATTGAGCTCAGGTCATCAGGCTTGCATGGCAAGCACTTAACCCACTAAGCCATTTCACTGCCCCAGTTTTGCTGTTTATTAAAATCAAAATCAGGGGCTGGAGAGATGGCTCAGCGGTTAAGACCACTGATTGCTCTTGCAGAGGACCCGGGTTCGATTCCCAGCACCCACATGGTGGCTAACAACTGTCCATAACTTTAGTTCCAGGGGATCCAACACCCTCTTCTGACCACAGGCATTGCACCACATAAGTGCACTTAAACACACATGCAGGGAATATACTCACACACATAAAATAAAAATAATAAATAAAATATATTTAAAAAGACAAAATCAACTTTGTATACTAATGAGATGTATGTGCTTGTTTATTTTTCATAAAGAATTAAATCTGGCTTAATATTTGGTACATGGAAGCCTTAAAACATTTTCACATTTTTCAGAGTTGATCTGTACTTGGGTTTTTATTTTATTTATTTATTTTTAATTTTTTGGTCTTTCTTTTTTTGAGACAGCGTCTCCCAGTAGCCCCAGCTCACTCTGTAGACCAGGCTGGCCTTGAACTCACAGAGATCTGCCTGCCTCTGCCTCCCTAGTGCTGGGATTAAAGGCGTGCACCACCACGCCTGGCTGTACTTAATTATTGTAGTCAGGCTCCTGTCTGGAGTCCAGCTCTTATCTGGATCCAGGTTCTGGCCAGGGGCCTGACTTTATAAGAGTACTTCAAATGCAAGAAATGAACAAATAAAAAGTTTGGCTCATTAAAGAAAGAAAGAAATTGTTGTGGGTGTATGCATGATACGTGGGTGGGTGCTTATACTTCAGCATGAGGAGGTCAGGACAACTTTGTGGAGTCCATTCTGTCTTGCCCCCTTTACATGGGCTTTTATCGGCAGGTGGCAAGCACCTTTACTTGCTGGGTCATCAGCACCTCCCATGTACATAGAACAGAACAGGTCATTTCAGAAACTTGGACATGCTGCCTTAATGCCAATCCAAGATTCATTAAATGATTTTTAAATACTTATTTTTAGGCCAGGTGTGGTGGCACATGCTTTTAATTCTGGCATTTGGAAGCAGAGGCAGGTGGATCTCTATGAGATTGAGGCCAGTCTGGGGCTACATATTTTTTAAAAAATTAACAGTACAATCGAAAGATACATTAATTTGATTTCTGAATGTTGAGAAATGATAATGGTAGGGAAGTATGTGTGTTTTCCATAATTAAACCACTTTGTTACTATAATGGCATAAAAGGATGTAGGTGTAGTAAAAACACTACATATCATAACATACAAGAGTCATGAGTCTGAGCTGGGGTATCCGGCAGCTTTTGTTGGCATTGGCTGGTGGGGAAGGGGTGAGCTCCGCAGAGTGCTCGTGTGTCCTCAGAACAGAGGCTGCAGCGAGGCTGTGAGGTTACAGCATAGGCATGAGCAGCTGGAGACACCTCAGTCAGTGATTTTTGGGTCACTACATATTGACAACATACATGTTGAGTGTTGTGACCCACAGTTTAAGAAGCCATGTATTAGAGATGCATCACACAGAGAAGAGCTTCTCACCCCTTAGGATGAACATACCTTACTTTGTACAGATGGCCAGGGAAAGCCTCAGAGCAGCCCAAAGGTTGGCTGGTGGAGCACCCCCTCTTAAGCACCCTGGGATGGCGTTTCTCCCATGGAGATATTGAAGACATGAAGAAAGGGAGCAGCTGTCTCATAGAGACGAGGGGGATCAGAATGTCTTTAATTTTATTATTTTTATTTCCCGTATATGAGTGCCTACATGTATGTAAGTGCACCCATGTGTAATGACCACAGAGGTCAGAAGAATGTCATATGCCCCTGGAACTGGACAGTTGTTAGCTGCCATGTGGGTGCTGTAACTCGAACCCAGGTTCTCTGAAAGAGTGATCAGTGCTCTTAACTGCTGAGCCATCTCTGCTCCCCCCACACACGCTTTTTTAAGACTTTTTTTTTGCCTTGTGTATATGTGCCTGTGTGCCATGCCACATGTGTGCGAGTGCTTTTGGAGACCAGAAGAGGGTGTCTGATCCCTTGAAACTGGAGTCACAAGCAGTTGTGAGCTGCTGGAAATGGGTGCTAGGAACCAAATCCATGTCCTCTGGAAGAGCAGCAGCTGCTCTCACCGCTGAGCTATCCCCAGACCCCCACCTGCCCCAGCAGAGCTCTTAAGGAGTCTAGTTGTGCCTCATTCTTTGTTCAGTGAGGACTGCAGAATCATTGGGGCTAGTGCTTTAAAAGCACTGGGGTGTGGTTCTGTGACTGATTTCGTGTCTGTCATGTTCTAGTCCTTGGGTCTTAATCTTGGTCTCCTAGGCAACTGGGACTTTCATGCCTGGCTACTATCCTATTTGGATGCTTCAAGCCAAGTGAGAACCCTTGCCTCAAAATGAAGAGATGAGGACATCCATCACTGGCCTGTACACACTCAAAAATTCAAGTTCTTGTATCAGAAAGTTTGGTATGACCCCTGGTTCCTGAACCAGGGCAGAGTCATGTCTTCCTGAGTAGCTGGGGCAGTGTTAACACTCATAACACCCGAGAGGTGGGACAGGGCTTGTGTAGCTGGCGCCTGGGACTTCCTGTGCTTGGGAGACAGTCGAGCTTTTAGGGATGACCTGGCCATCTTCTCATGGGGCTCAAGGGTTATTTCTGCCCAGTCCCTCAGGGTCCTCTTTGCAAATTAGAGCCTTATGCATTTTTTGTTTTTCTAGTAGTACTGAGGATTGGGCCATCAAGATGGTTCAGCAGATAAAGGCACTTGGTGCCAAACCCAAGGACTTGAGTTCAATCCCAGGAACCCACATGGTAGAAGGAGAGAACTGACTCCTGCAAATTCCGACTTCCACACAGCAAACTGGCACATGCACCCACACAGTAAAGGTGTTGTTTTTTTTTTTAAAGTACATGGGGCCTGAAGATATGACTCCGTACTTGAAAAGCAGCACCTGCTGGTCTTGCAGAGCACCTGAGTTCAGCTCCCAGCATCACGACTGCCTGGAGCTCCGTTTCCTCACTGTCCCAATGGGTCACCCCACAGCAGGCTAGCACTGGGTCGATGTCTGACATGCTAGAGCTCAGCCCTCAATAGCTCTGACTACCTGCTCTAGCCTGTGTGCTCAGTGCCCATGTCCTCCAGCCTGCACACGTGCACTCTGCTGCCCTCTGTGGCTAGGTGGAGTAATGCACGTAGGGTTCGTGGCTGGCTGATTCCCTCAGTTTTTCTCAGCCTCTCATTTCAGTCTCCAAATTGACAGTTGCACTACCCTAAATTCTTGGAGGTCAAGTTTCACCATTAGGTCTCTGTTTTATTTATGCTACTGTGACCATATCCAGTACTAGATTCATAATGAACAGAAATTTACTGGTTGAGGGTTAGAGGCCAGGGAGACCACTATAAGGCACTGGCTGTGTCATGTGACAGGAGGTATGGGTGCCGTGTGAGTTCTTTTATAATGACCCCCTCCCCCACTTGTAATGGGCCTAGTCCCATGAGAACAGCTTTTCTGCCAGGATTCCACCCCCACCCAAACAGTGGCAGTGTGTTGAAGCCATGGTGGTGACGTGTCCCACGCTGGTGCTCAGATGCTCTCAGGTGTGTGCATCTTCCTCTGGGTGAGCCTCCTGCGGTCTTTCTGCTGTCTGCGAACCTTCAGGGGGTTGAGGACCAGCACAGCAGCTTCCCTTGACATCCCAGTCTCATGGCCCTGCTAGGTAGGGATTTAGTTGAGGCTTCTTTCTTAGCCCTGGGCTCATGTGTGAGCTCATCCCCTGCCTGCCCTCCCATAGCTCAGTGGTGGCAGTGCAGGACCTCTGTGGAGGCATCAGTTGTAGGCCAAGTGCATAGGCTGGGGCTGTGGGAAAGCACCTCTCACATGAGGCAGGGGAATTGAATCTTAAGTTCCATGGGAGAACTAGATTGATGGCTTGCGCCTTCAGCCTTATTCCCAGCATCTCAGCCCTTCTGTCCTGAGAACCCATTCTAGGGACAACCAGGTACTCAGCCAAACTCAGCATCTTCCACATCAGGAAGACCTAAGGTGAGTGGCTGTGGCTTTGTCCAGATGGACCCAGTAACACCACTGCCACCAGTGACAGGACATGTCCCTCCCAGACTTGAGTGAGTTTTCCCAGTCCCCAGGGCAGCTCACAGTACATGTCCATGGGGTAGGAGTGTAGCTCAGTGAGAGAGTACCTGGCTAGCATGCAAAAGACCCTTGACCCCTCCAGCACTGCAAAAAGAGAAGCTGCATGTGGACGGGAGCAGGGTTTTGACTGCCTCTGCAAGCAATATTCATGTTTAACTGGTGCCAAGAGGGTGTGTGGGCTCCATCTGTAGCTTGGCTAGAGGACAGAGTTTTTTTCCTTCCCTAGGCAGTGACCTGATCCATGGGCTGTGAACAAGGTCTGTGAGGGTCTGGGGTTAGGCTCTCAGTGGTCATTGTGCTCTCTGGGGGATATTCAGCTTACGTCTCACTGCCCCTTGACAGCTTACATGTCTCAAGCTCAATAAGGGCAGTGGCAGCCTCCTGTTCACACTGTGCATTGGGGCTTTCCAGAGAAACAGAGCCAGCCAGGGTTTCATAGTCACAAGTGTGTGCTTACGTATGAGAAGAGTGACTGGGGCGGGGGTAGTGGCACGTACTGATATGGTAAGCTGAAGGGGCTAAGGCAGGAAGATCACCAGTTTTAAAAGAGACCCTGGCCCGGCATGGTAGCACACGCCTTTAATCCCAGCACATGGAGGTAGAGGCAGGCGGATCTCTGTGAGTTCAAGGCCAGCCTGGTCTACATAGTGAGTTCCAGGACAGCTGGGGCTACAGGGAGACCCTGTCTCAAAAAGACCAAAAAAAAAAGAGAGACCCTGCTGGGCAGGCCATAACTAGAAAAGATTTAGCGTTGCTGCAGAGGGAGCTGGGTGAGGCGGCACTCTCCCTCCACCGGGTCTTTGAGGTAGTGAGGCCCATCTCTGGGCAGGAAGTGTACTTTGCGCAGCATTTATCTCATCTGTTACAGTAGCATCATAGACACCCCGAGGATCGTTCTGCTCTGCCTCAGGCAGGTAGCCTGCAAGATGGCCCCATGTCTCAGCTGGAGGCTCAGCTCTAAAGTCCTAAGTGTCTTTTTTGGGGGGGGTCTCCTTGTAGCCCCAGCTGTCCTGAACTCACTGTGTAGACCAGCATGGCCTTGAACTTAACAGAGCTCCGCCTGCCTCTGCCTCAGTGCTGGGATTAAAGGCGTGCACCACCGCGCCAGCAGGCATCTTTTTTTAAAGACATTTTTTATTATGTGAGGCGGGGCGGGGGGGGGTGTCAGAGGACAACTTGTGGGAGTCAGTTCTCTCCTTCCATAGTGTATGTTCTGGGTATCCAACTCAAGTCCTCAGACCTGGTGACAAGTTCCTCTACCCACTGAGTCAAGGGTGTTGTCTTTCTAGAGAAATGCTTTTTGGACTGATGGAATGAACAGATGAGAGAGGGCTCTTTAGAGCCAGAACAACCCTGTTCTCTCTTCATAGGGAATGCGCTAGGTCGGCAGAGGCCTCCCTGTCTGTCTTGACAATACTGATCTCTTGAGTACTGCATGCTTTCTAGGAACGCCTTGGCCTGTTGTAGATTTCCAGGTCCCCTTTGCCTAGGACATTCTGCCTTTGGGCCTATGGGCCATCCCTGAGGTTCTCTGTAAGGCCCCGTGGGTCTAGAGTGTTGGGATGGCCCTTGGGATCAAGGGTTTGTGCAAGAGTCATGGATCTGATTCACTGTCTCTCTTCAGCAGTGGCGAGTCCTCTCCATATGTTGGCAACCCATGCATCAGCATCAGCGTCCCTACCCACAAAGCGCCAGAATGGTGACCAAGCAGAGCAGCCAGAGCTCAAGCGGATCAAAGGGGAGGAGAGAGAGAGCATTGTCATCGCCCTGAGCGTAGATGCGCCACCAGCAGTCGTGAGAGAGAAGGGCATCCAGAACTAGCTGCCAGGAGATCTTTTCTTATGTCAGACATCAATTTCGTGGTGCCAAAAGGAGACGCTGCCTCTCACCCAGGCGGGAGCGCATCCTCTCAGTGGGTCAAGGGCCCTGCGGTTGGACTTCCCTTCTCAGCACTGAAACATGAACCCAGGTGGCCTTAGAACTCCTTAAAGACAGAAGCTACACTTGAACAGACCCACAGAGCGCTGGTTCCAGAGGTGGCGTCTCCCACAGAGCGCTGGCTGGGCTCATCTTTTATTACACGCAAGAACTCCAGGCCCTGAAGGACCACCAAGCCTCCTGAAGATGCAGCACATGCTGCAGGCAGATCTTACTGGGCTGGCTCTTCTCTAGGGGACAGCCAGAGCCACCCGCTGCCCTCCCAGGACCCACTGGCTGCGGCTGAGAGACAGGACAGTATTTTGTTGTCACACGTGGAATTAGAATACTTTGAGGTGTACTTCCTTTACAAAATAATGGGGTCTTTGACATTTCACATCACTCCATTTCTACTCTGGAAATGTTAGATTCATTTGGGGGGAAGAGCGTCATTCTGTTTGTTTCTGTGGTTTGTTTTCAGCCCATGGAATGGTTGCTCTTGACTGTCCTGCCGGCGTGGAGGTGGCACTCCTTTAGGACCTCTGCCCATTGCTGTTTAGAGCAGTTACCTGATGAATTTGACCCACCCTGTGCCAGTATGTAGGCTGCACGGACCTGCTCTTACTCGGGGCCTTTGTCTGTTTCTTTCTGTTAACTTTGTCCCTGGCATAACTTCCCACTCTAGTAAAACCAGTCTCCTATGTATTGTGTATGCTTGAAGTGACAGAGCCAGGCTTTCGTTACATACCCTTCCAGACCAAGGTCATAGATCTCTCCTGGGGTCTATTATGTCCTAGGAGTCTTAGGGGTCGGCACTGGCTTCTAGTGTCTTGACCTGCTGTCTGCATAGCATACCCGTGGCCAGAGCTGTGGGGGAGAAGTTGCCAGTTAACTGGAGGGTCTTGGAAGTGTCAGAAGCCTCCAGGCCATTTTCTGATTCTCAGTAGGTGTTTCTGGCCTTCCAGAATGAAGCCCCAAGGCTGACTTCTGTCCTATAGTAAAGAAAACTGAGAGGGACGGGTGAGGAGAGGTGGGAGGCGGGCAACCCCTCCACTCAGCAGTACCACCCACTTTTCCAGAGTGTTGTGGGATTAGAGCTGAGCAGCAGACAGAGCACATTAGCCTCATTGTGAGTTTTTTAATGTCATCATCATAACGTTATTTATTTAAATGTAGTTATTTTGGTATTTAATTTTTTTTTAAAGAGAGGGGAAAACCCTGTATTTTTCCTGGTAGAATGAAATGGCTCAGAATGGTATGGCTCAGAATGGTATATTTAGGCAATTTAAGAAACATTTATTATTTACATAAAGACCAAATATGATAAGTCTGTTCTAAGTATTGCGTGTCACCCACAGTATGGAGCTGTCACAATGTTACTGCAGATGATGCGTGTTGAAATTATGGAGTTACCGCACACTAGCTGGATTTATAACTCAGCCACTTACAATAAAGGTGAGACGTCACGTGAGTGAGACAATGTGTGTGCCCGGAGCAGGGTCTGATTTTGGACTGTAGTCTGGGGACGACAGCCTGGTGGGGCCAGAGCCCCTCCGAACGGCAGGCTGCCTCCTCCCTCGCTTTGCAGGTACCGTGAATGTGTATTTCTTATTGTAGAGGTTTGCAATTTGCAAAGTACTTTAGGTTGTGCTGTGCCCTGCACATGGGTCCTGACTCTGGGCCTCTGCTAACATGCGCTGGAGGGGGACCACCCTGGCGGGGAACTGGGCTGAGGCTGTACCAGCTGGACATGCTATGCTGTGCATCTAGAGACTTGAATGTGTAGCATGCTTGCCCAGGACTTGGGGCAGATGTTCCCCGTGTGAGGGGAGCCAGCAGACTGATCGCCTCTGAGCTCCAGACAGACCATATGGGTCTGGAAGGGTTTCTTTGGGACCGTAGATAATAGCCAACTCTCCAGTCTTGAGGATGGAGGGCATCCTTGTCTCTGAAGGCTGCATTTGTGGTCTCAGTGAAGTATGTCCTTGCGGCCACAGGCACACGCTCGGCCTCTGGCTGTCTGGTGGGCTCGCTGCTGTGTTGCTACATAGGAGTAGAAAGTGTGGAGGGGAGGCCTGAAGCTACGCAGGTGATGGCACACTGCAGGTTTGCTTCCCAGTCTGCATTGTTGCTGTGTGCAGCTGAGTCCCTGGGAGTCTCCATGCACCAGACTGCTGGACTTTTGTGCTGCTGCCCACAGGGCCGTTGTGGAGACATCCAGCCCTGACACCACAGGTAGCATACAGCCGCGCCCACTGCACTGTGGCCCCTCAGTGTTGAAATGCTCAAGGAGTCTCAGTTTAACCTTTACCAAACTTCTAAGCTCCCTCAGGGACTAGACAACTTGAGCAGCTTTACCCTGAACCAGTGAACACAAGGGGAAACCCAGCCTGTGTCCCCGCTCCAGTGCATTCCAGGACATGTGCTGTGACTGGACAGGTCATCCCCACACTACAGAATGTGTGCTCACAGACAGCTGGCCTTGGTAGACACCCCACCCCACTTCTCATCCTCTGCTGGAGTCACAGAATAGCCGTAGTAGCTCAGAAGGGGTTGGGGAACGTCAGGACTTGGAATTTTCTACACTTCTCGACACAAGGAGAGAAGTGACAATCTCGAGGTCCAAGTGTCTGCTGTTGTAGAGAAACAGGTGATCTGTGTGCAAAGATTTGGAATTTTTAAAAGTACCAAGTTCCTGAAATTCAATAAAATATTTTTATTCATTTTACTTGAAAAGAGTATCGTTCTTTTGATAAGCAGATATGTCTATCTTAATTTTTAGCCTGTGCTAAAAAGAGGTTTGATGTGCTAGGAAGTCTTCACCAGAGCATAGATGGGCAGCAGCAGAGGTGAGGGCTGGCCACGGCTCATCAGGCATGGTCAGGGCTGACCCAGGGTACAGAAGGAAGGAGTCCCGGAGACTGTATGGAGCACTGTTGAGCTAAGCAATCCCTGGGAATCGGTGTCTGTGGCTAGAGCCCCAGCATCGAGTTCGTCCCTCCTGCACCAATCCTGGCCTCAAGACTGCCCGTGTTAGTGTAGAACAGTCAGCTGTCCCTTGTCTCTCTTTTACCCAAGAAAGCCACTGTCAGTAATTTTCCGGGTGTGTTGTCTGCTTGGAATAGTCAGTGCTTTCAGAGCTTTGTGCTCCACGCTTTCCTCCTTGGCAGGTTTTTCAGTGAGTTCCTAGGTTCAGTGTTGAAGTTAAACTTGCCAAAGGAGGAAGTGGCCATCTTGGCTCTGACCCAGACACGCTAAAGAGGCACCTCCTGTTAGGACAGTGCAGCAGCTCTGAGCAGATTCCCTGGGCAGCCAGAGTACTGTTGCTTATCTGCACTTGCACGTGTGTCTACCAGGTCATGAACCAGCAGACAGTTACCACAGTAAGTCCAGACCTCACTGCTGCTCGCTCAGCAGGACTCATGGTTTTCTGTAGACGTGTTAGAGCCGCAGAGAGCTGTGGCTGCATTCCGTGCTTATGTCCATAGAACCAAAGTTGGCTAGAGTAGGTCGCTGATGACAGGGCACACCTGTAGCTATACATCTTGCAAGGCCCCAGGCCATCCAAATAACTAATACTGAATGTACATAAACAAACAGACAGGGGAAGGGAGATCAAAGCCAGGGTAACCTATGGTGATGTACATTGGCGTGAAATCCCCCACTCACGGGCAGCATCCTGGGAAAGTGCCCCCAAACAGGTGACAGATGGGAGATGCCCATCACACTGACTGGCAAGCAGTAGCAGTGGGGACACAGGACATGGGTCTTGATCCATATGAGATTGGGAGGACTAGAGAGGCAGCTCACTTGGTACAGTGCTTGCCGCAAATGCACACGTCTCTGGTTTTGATTCCTAGAACTGCATAAAATAGGTTAGGAGGTAGACACAGGAGAATCAGAAACTAAAGGTTATCCTTGGTTACGTAGAAAGTTAGGCCAGCTTGAGCTACGCTAAGCCCTTCTTCCAGAACAAGTGAGAGATGGGGTGGGGGAGGTCATTTCTGTTCCTGGTTGCCCTTTTCTCCTTCCGGCCCCCAAACTGGACCACTTGTAGGAGTGGAAATGCAGCACAGGGAATCCAAAACCTGAGCCTTCTCACAAACAGCACAAACAAGGTGCCTGGGAGACAGGATCTAGAGATACTAAGATGCAGAGGAAATTAGAAATCCCCATATAATACTGTACCCCATGTCCACCTGCAGCCAATGAGGCAAAGCTGACCTGAGGGAGCTGTGGCCCGAGCTGAGCAGTCATATAGGGTGTGATGAGAGCAGCTCTGAACAGACTAGAAAACCTTCTACACAAACACATTTACACACACAAGTTGGGTGGGCTGTGGAGTCAGCAGAGCAGGGTATTTCCAGAGAGCAAGCAAATGTCCAGTGTCCAAACAGCCAAAGAAAGCTCCATTTTTTAAAAATGCTTTTTATTATTTTTTATGTGTATGAATGTACTGCCTGCATGTAAGTGCACCTGTGTCTTGCTAAGTCCACAAAAGTCAGAAGGCTTCAAATCTCCTGGAACTAGGGTTATGGACAGTAGTTAGCCACCATGTGGGTGCTGGGAATTGAACCCAGGTCCTCTGTAAGAGGAGAGTCATCTCTCCAGCCCCAGAAAGCTCAATCTAAAGAAAAAAGATGTTACTAACTTTCAACATGACTCAATGTAAAATTCAGAAAACATCAGAGAAGAATTAGCCAAGCTCTTTGAAATAAAACAGATGCTCTTGAAGTGAGTCAAGTTATAGACCTTCAAAATAAGTGATTCAGTAGATGGACAGAACATTTGATAACAAAAAAAGCTTCAGGTCCAGGCATGGTGGCACACACTTTTGGTCCCAACAGAGGCAGGTGGAGCTCTGAGTTCCAGGAAAGCTAGAGCTTTGGGGAGAAAAAGAAAAAGCTTCAGGGATGTGTGTGGCCCTGGATTCCCAGCAAAAGGAGGAAGTTGGGATTTAATTTCTAATTTTTTAAAAAATTTAGTTGCTGGATGTCCTTCCTGGGTCCATGGATGGAGGCTACAGTCATCCTGGGTCCATGATGGAGACTACAGTCATCCTGGGTCCATGGATGGAGGCTACAGTCATCCTAGGTCCATGATGCAGACTCTACAGTCATCCTGGGTCCATGGATGGAGACTACAGTCATCCTGGGTCCATAGATGCAGACTACAGTCATCCTAGGTCCATGATGCAGACTACAGTCATCGTAGGTCCATGGATGGAGACTACAGTCATCCTGGGTCCATGGATGTAGATAACAGTCATCCTAGGTCCATGGATGGAGACTATAGTCATCCTAGGTTGATGGATGGAGACTACAGTCATCCTGGGTCCATGATGCAGACTACAGTCATCCTAGGTCCATGGATGGAGACTACAGTCATCCTGGGTCCATGGATGGAGGCTACAGTCATCCTGGGTCCATGATGCAGACTACAGTCATCCTAGGTCCATGGATGGAGACTACAGTCATCCTGGGTCCATGGATGGAGGCTACAGTCATCCTGGGTCCATGATGCAGACTACAGTCATCCTAGGTCCATGGATGGAGACTACAGTCATCCTGGGTCCATGGATGGAGGCTACAGTCATCCTGGGTCCATGATGCAGACTACAGTCATCCTAGGTCCATGGATGGAGACTACAGTCATCCTGGGTCCATGGATGGAGACTACAGTCATCCTGGGTCCATGGATGGAGGCTACAGTCATCCTGGGTCCATGATGCAGACTACAGTCATCCTGGGTCCATGGATGTAGATAACAGTCATCCTGGGTCCATGGATGGAGACTACAGTCATCCTGGGTCCATGGATGGAGGCTACAGTCATCCTGGGTCCATGATGCAGACTACAGTCATCCTAGGTCCATGGATGGAGGCTACAGCCATCCTAGGTCCATGGATGGAGACTACAGTCATCCTGGGTCCATGGATGTAGATAACAGTCATCCTGGGTCCATGGATGGAGACTACAGTCATCCTAGGTCCGTGATGCAGACTACAGTCATCCTAGGTCCATGATGCAGACTACAGTCATCCTAGGTCCATGGATGGAGGCTACAGTCATCCTAGGTCCATGGATGTAGATAAGAGTCACCCTAGGTCCATGGCTTAGATAACAGTCACCGTAGGTCCATGGATGGAGGCTACAGCCATCCTAGGTCCATGGATGTAGATAACAGTCATCCTGGGTCCATGGATGCAGACTACAGTCATCTTAGGTCTGTGATGCAGACTAGAGTCATCCTAGAGCCATAGATGGAGACTATAGTCATCCTAGGTCCATGGGTGGACGCTACAGTCATCTTAGGTCCATGGATACAGACTACTATCATTTTATGTCCATGAATGGAGAGTACACTCATCCTAGGTCTGTGGATGGAGAGTACAGGGAGAACTTCACTAAAAAAATGCTGTTGGGGCTGGAGAGATGGCTCAGCAGTTAAGAGCACTGACTGCTTTTGCAGAGGACCCGGGTTCGATTCCCAGGACCCACATGGCGGCTACGAACCGTCCTTAACTCCAGTTCCAGGGGAATCTGACCTCTTCTGACCTCCACGGCATTGCACGACACAGGTGCACTCACATGCAGGCAGTACACTCATACACGTGGAATGGGAATAATAATTTTTTTTTTTTTAATGGTTGGAAGCTCGACATTGTGGTGCACGCCTTTAATTCCAGTGCTCAGGAGGCAGAGGCAGGCGGATCTCTGTGAGTTCCAGGCCAGCTTGGTTTACATAGTGAGTTCCAGGACAGCTGGGGCTACAGGGAGACCCTGTCTCAAAAAGGTCCTCCCCCCAAAAAATATGGTTGGATGGTTGGGGGTGGGGGAAATGCTTGCCTTATACATGTGACTCCATGTGTTCAATTCCTAGTACTTCAAAATCAAACAAAAGGGCTGGCAAGATGGCTCAACAGGTAAAGCCTTGCCACCCAAACTTAGTTCCTGAGTTCAAGACTCACATGGTGAAAGAAGAGAGCCTGCAAATTGTCTTCTGCCCTCCATACCTGTGCCATGGTGTTCCCTGTACCCCCACCACAAATGCTTAAAAAAAAAAAAAAGGGCTGGGCGTGGTGGTGCATACCTTTAATCTCAGCACTTAGGAGGCAGAGGCAGGCAGATCTCTGAGTTCAAGGACAGCTGGGGCTACAGGGAGACCCTGTCTCAAAAAAGACCCCCCCCAAAAAAACCCAGAAAATAGTCATATTGGATTAAAAAAATGTAATGATATAGATTAAAAGTAACCAGTGAGGGGTGAGAGAGATGGCTCAGCTATTTAAGAGAACTTACTGCTCTTTCAGAGGACCCAAGTTCAGTTCCCAGCACCTACATGCAGCCAACATCCATCCTTAACCCCAGTTCCAGGGGATCTGTCACCCACTTTTGGCATCCATAGGCACCAGGCACACATGGTGCACTTACATACATGCACACAAAACACACAAAAACTTTAAAAAATATAACTTATAAAAGTAACCCATCTGGGAGCTTTTCCAGAGCAACCCTTTGAGAAGCACCCTTAAACAGCAGATAGTGATTAATACGAGACCCACTACTGGCCAGTGTGCAGAGAAAAAGAGGCTGCAGACTGCTCATCCCTGAACAGGACACCTCTGTGAAACTTCTGCCTCCCAAGGCTCAGGGATCATTGCAGAAAAGGAGGCAGAAAGATTGTAAGAGCCAGAGGTGGTGGACGACCATAAGGAAAGAGTTTT